TTTTGATGAGGAGAATATCCAAGAAAAGCACATTGAACAGATTGTGCAGTGAGCTTGGTGCGTTCTTGTGGAGGAAGATGAACATAACACACACAACCGAAGATACGAAGAGTGGAGTAATTTGGTGGGTGACCATGTAACCGAGTGAATGGAGATTCATTACCTAATGATGGAGATGGCATTCTATTTATAAGATGGACTGCAGTGGAAAGGGCTTCACACCAAAAACGTGAAGGCACATGAGACTCCAATAAAAGGGTGCGAACAACATCTAGCAAATGGCGATTTTTTCTTTCCGCTACCCCATTTTGTTGTGGAGTTGAGGGGCATGACCTGTGAGATAAAATGCCATTGGATTGCAAAAATTCCTGAAATGAGTGTGACATGTATTCACCTCCATTATCAGAGCGAAATATTTTTATTTTTGATGAAAATTGGGTCTGAACATAAGCATGAAAAATTTTGAAAGTAGAAAAAACTTCATCTTTTGATCGCAAAAAATAGACCCAGGTGAAACGACTATAATCATCAATAAAAGTTACAAAATATTTGTAATTAGCATGAGATATAACTGGTGCCACCCCCCAAACATCACTATGGATGATATCAAAAGGTTGTGTTGTATGAGACTGATGAGTTTGAAAAGGCAGAATTTTACTCTTACCAAGCTTACAAGGAATACAATCAAAATGAACAACATTAAGAGATGGAGTGTGTTTATTTCCAAGAAAACCAGATTTTAGCAAGTCATGAAGTACATTTGCGTTTGGATGTCCAAGATGCTTATGCCACACTTGGTAATCAACAAAGGCAGAATTACAAGAAACTAAAGGCAAAGAAAGACTTGGAGGTAATGAGAAACGAATTGGGAAAAGACGTCCAACTTTAGGCCCCTTCGCGATGATCTTCCCTGAGTGTTGATCCTGCACAAGACAACCAGACTGTGAGAATTGTACTTGACAATCATTTTCGACTAATTGACCAACTGAAATTAGATTACTAGTGAGGCCAGGAGAGACAAAAACATCTGTGAGAGATGAAGAAATATCACCCGTGGCTGTGATAGGCAATTGATTTCCATCAGCGGTATGTATGTTGAGAGTGCCCAAATATTTTTTCACATGTGTAAGAAATTGAGCATTGTTGGTCATGTGGTTGGAAGCCCCCGAATCAAAGTACCAAGATGAAGAGGATTTACCTGAGATTCCTAAAGCAGAGAATGCTGAAATAATCATCTGTTGAACCATTTCAGGAGTCACCGTTGAAGTAGTAGCAAGAGGATTTGGTTGAACTGGTACTGCATTGACTGAATTGTCAGGAATAGATGAATCAATTGCGGCGGTAAAGGCTGTGACATTTCGCTTTGGTGGCCTTATTGTGCATTCCTTAAGAATATGTCCATGCTTTTTGCAGTAGTTGCAGAATTTTTTTGGGCAATTGGAAGCATAATGTCCAAATTGCTTGCAACAAAAACATTGAACAGCACTCATGTCATGACTTCTTGACTTCCCTCGTGCCACATATGCCATTGGAACAGTAGATGATTTTTGATCTGCAATGATGGACTGTGTATGGAGGCGTTGTTCTTCACGTAACAGATCATTGAAACACGCATCCAAAGATGGTACAGGGTCACGATGCATGAGATTGGACCGAATACCTTCAAAGTCAGATCTCAATTTCATAAGAAATTGATCTCGTTTAGTCGTTTCATAAATAGTTTGTACTGAACTTAGACCTTCAGAAGTTAAGTCTGCATAAACTATATCAGTATACTCAGCCCAAAGATTCATGAATTGAGAGTAAAAATCAGAGATGGAGAGACTATCCTGTTGAAAGGAAGCTATGTCGTGCTCAAGCTGGAATCGTCGTGCAGTGTTCTTTTGACTGTAGACTTTTTTTAAGTAATTCCACATTTTGGCTGCTGTCTTGTAAGGACGAAGATTCAAAACAATGTTGGGGTCAACGGAACTAAGGACCCAGGCCATGACCTGAGCATCTTTGACTACCCACTTGGCATGTTCAACCTTATCTTTGTCTTTGTCAGGGATTGGAGTGTTGCCATCAACATGACCCCACAAATCTTTTCCTGTAACGAATATCTCGAAATGGAATGACCAAGCTGAGTAGTTTTTTCCGTTAAGGCGAACCAACAGGACATCGTGCTTTTCGATAGACATGGAACTAGAGTAATCTGGACTGGGAAGCAAATGACCGAGAAATAGAAGTGAAAAAAAAACCGAGAACGTAGGCGAGGTTCTTGGATCGTAACCTAAGCTGATACCATGTCAAATTAAGAAAATATTTGGCCAAGAACTGTATGTCCTTCTCATTCAGATTGCTCATATAAATACAGTAATATTACAAGCTGTAACGTTGATTTCAGCCCAATAAATCAGCTAAACTACCATATATACATTTATAGCTAATTATGTTAAATAAAAGAATAACCGTTACAAATAATTGTGCAATCAATCCCATACAATTCTGTTTTTCATTAATTCCCATTAATTCCGTTGACACAAGCACCATCTACAATTATTGTTCAATAATTCACCTTTTATATAAAAGAAATTAAAAGAACTAATTTGGCAGCCAAAAAGACACATTATCATTATCAGTACCATACACAGAGGAAATACAGATGCTTACTGTTTTTATCTATCATCTTGCCAATTCAGGGAGAATGAGGCTGTCAGCAAATGTTTTCTCACTATTTAAATTCATCATCAATGAAGTCCTGAAGTGCAATCATTCTGATACAATTAGGTTTTAAGCTTTTTATCACTTAAACATTTGCCAAAGCTCCATTAGCCATTATCACAATAAGAACCTTGCAATTCATAGCCTCTGAGCCTATGTGTCTGATCAATAGCATCACCTAAAGCTGATTATCATCTTCAGCTAAGTGTCTTCATTGGCAATCATGTTACCAGAATGCAGCTTGTCTGCGTGCATTTTCAAGCATAGTTCAAGTACCACAAGTTGAAACAATCTGAAAGCTGGTCTCAACAAAAGCCTTCTCAATAAAAGGTATCTCATAAAGATATTTTCTAGACAGAAAAAGGGAACCATATACAAACAATGGATGCCCATTTGCTTTTAATACCAATGGAACTGTACAAGAAGGTTGAGGATTGGCCTCAAGCAAAAATAGCCTCCTAATGCTTATTGAAAATAATGATCCTTCGGGAAGGAGTCACCAAAATGTACTGCAACCAGCTCAATGTGCTCCACTACTCTGGCAGTGACCACATTGTAAACATCAATCTCAATGGCATTAGATAAATACTAGTCCAATATTATTGGTAGCCTTTCTGGATCCAGCTCAACACCATTTTCAATATAAGTCGCAAGTTTACGATAATCATCATTATATACAATCTCTCAGAATTTTCATTCATTCTGACTCGGATCTAATTTCATTTTTGCTTAAGCAAAAATAAACTCTTTTAAGGAAAAATGTAGAAAAAGAAAAAAAAAATTATGCAAAATTAGCTTAAATAAATTACTTTGGTTTAAGATAATTTTGTATATTTGAGAAGATAAAAACTAAGAGTGGAAGAAGAGAAAACTGAGGATAAATAAAGATAAAGAGAGCAGTAGTATAGGGAGAGATGGTGAAGAGAGTTGAGAGAGAAACAAAGGGTTATGAGAGAAGAAATAAGGTTGAATAACGAAGTTGAAAAGATAATGTTAAGCACGAAGATAATGATATAAAAAGATTGAAAAAAAGACGCAAAATTCACTTAAGTTAAAATAATTTAATTAAGCAAATCTATAAAATTAACTTACATAAATTTTTTTTGTTATTTTCTATACTTTTATTTAAATAAAAATGAATTTAGATATTCAGTTTTCACGTTAACTGAATCTGGATCCTTATTGTCCCGTGGCCTGCTTCATTATTGCAAGTGAAAGTTAAAAAAAAAGGGTTAAAGTTTATAGAATAAGCATCGATAAAATAATTGGCAAACCAACCTAGCTGCAAAACTCTTTAAAAGTGAGGACCAGTTCTTTTCATGTTTAAGTGCTTTGTTGGGCACAATGGGATCATCAGCTCTATATAAATTATTGAGAGTAATAATTTATTAATGATAGTATTTTAACTAAAAAAATCATATTTTTAAGAATATTTTTAAATGAGAATATTTTAAGAATTAGTTTTGTTATCATAATAAAGAATTTTTTTTACATTATGAAATTTTTAACTTAATATTAATTTAAATTTTGTATAATTTATTTTACATAAAAAATTATTAGTAATAATTATAATATTTTTAAATTAAAAAATAATCATATAATATATTTTAATTATTTATTTAAAAATATTTAATTTAATAATACCCTCACCAAAAAAATAAGTTACGTTAAATTTAGAATAGATAGATAATAGATTAGATTAGTTGATTTTAAACGAAAACTTACATTCTTAAAAGCTTAATTTTATTGGGCTTCTAATGTTTTGTTGGGCCTGGCTTGTTACTGGATCAGGGTGTTTTCTGGTGTCGGTAATGCATTGGTTAGCATTTATGTGACTGGCTCTTGAATCTAGGCGACACCTTGTACTCAAAGTTCTTTATTTTATATTTAATGAATTTCTTTCGTCCTATTGAAAAAGACTTTAGTTGCAAAAAGCTCCTTATGTCTTATTTCATTCTGTATAATTTTATATAAAATAAAGTAAGAAATAAGAAAGAAAGAAAAATAAAAAATAGAGAAAAATATGGTATTGTGAAAATAATTTTGGCAAAATATTGTATAGACGCTACTTTCTTTCTTTCTTTGCTAAATATATCAAAGGGCTGATATCATATTACACTTATTTTAAGTATACACCAAGTATATTCTCAAATTAAAATTAATTCTTTTGAGAGGTAAATATCACACAAGTTTTGTCCCACTTGCCACTGCATGCAAGACATTTCTCCAAATTTACAAATCTACCAATACTAATTCCAACAAATTACAAAATGAGTATCTTCTTGAAAGCAAAAACAAAAGTTGCACTGTGAGCAAATATGATAAATACATTCATCCTTAACAATATTAAAACCAAATCCATGTTGCGGGTGTTTGATGCAAAACCATGAGAATAACCTAGTTACATGGGGCAAAAGACAAACTCCTAAGATATGTTACTAAAACACTTTGGTATTTCAAATAGTGCCACTAAAGATGAAAGGCACTAGGTTGTGCCTTTGTCATCCTTGCTTCACCATAGGGTTCATCATTATCCATCCTACGATTGTTCCTATATGCTGCATAGGCAATTATGTAAACAATTACAAGGATGATCATAACAACAATGTTGATAACTGAGACCTTCCTCCAACTCTTTCTGAGACTAGCCAGTACACCAGCCTTGCAAGAATCACAGGCATAGCAAAGCAGTTGTTGGTCATTGCTCCACTTAGTGCAATCTGGGTTGGCTCCCATTAGTCCTGATCCTAGGTTCCACACTGTCTCATTCTGATATACATAGCCACAATCTGTGGGAGGCTTGCAGCAACCAGACTATAACACAAAAGAACATTAATTCAATAAATTGCACGACATGTGGGTTTAGCAACAAAAAAGAAATTATTAAAGCTAGTTTAGTTTGAGAAAATGTTTAGTTTAGAAATTATAATCATAAAACTGTCTCTCTATGTTCAGACTATAAATATTCTCAGCAGAATAAAATGAACTCCTTTTTACGAAAATTTTTTAATATACAAAGCCTGAATACAAGAGTACCTTAAATAAAGAAAATCAAGCTAGGTGAATCAATTACTTAATATTTGCATTATTTCTAATTTTAAATATTTATAGTAAATAACAAAAATGTTTTTTATTTCTAATTGGTACGAAGTTTTATCTGTACTTGTGGGGGTATTATATGGAAATAGAACCTAGAAACAGCAACTGGTTCTAAAGTTTTGAAATAATTGTAAGAACGTTGTGTGTTTTGAAAAGGAAATGATTTTGTATTTGTCTTTTTATCTTTTGTGCCTGGTTGCAGTTAAAACTATAATTGCACTTTTTCTTTCTCCTATAAGATTGTCATGGCATGCATCAAAAGTTACTTTATTAACATGCGGACCAGGCACCGGGCTTACTAACAAAAGTTACTTTATTAACATGCGGACCAGGCACCGGGCTTACTAAGAGCCAGACCAACAAATTGGCACTGTTTAATCTTCCAATTGGAGCAAAACACGAAACAATATTAGATAAGAAAAGTGTCAAGTCAGTCTAAAAGATCAAAACATTAGGGTGCTACATAAGAAATCAACACTTGGAAGAAAATCAGAACCTTAAATCATAATCAACTGACCATATAAGTAAAGTTGCCATTGCGTTTCTTATACGTAGTTAGCTATTTAAACGCAATTCACATATCTTTACTAATAATATTCTATAATAAGAAAAATGTCAATTATGTCACTATTTTTTAAAATTAAACCGATTAATAAAGAAATTTAACACCTATAAAAGGTTGGGTACAAATTGCATTATTGGATGAAGTGGGAAAAATCAGGGTCATTATATTTTCTTATTTTACAACTTTGTCCATTCAGCTCCATACATAATGTTACCACACTAGCAAACAAAACACAGAAAGGATATCCCACCTAAAAGATTAATCATACGGATAAAGGAAAATATGAAAAGGCCAACCCCAGCCTTTCAAAGCTTTAAATCGTACCCTAGAACATTCTTATGTGAGTTGGGGGACCTTGTAAAAAGCAGAAAGCGACAACTAATAGTTTATGTGTAAACATCACTTTCCCAGTAACAAAATTTACAGGTGTAAGTGAAGCTCAAACAAAAACCAAAAAGTCAATAATGGTCTAATTGCCTATGCAAAGTCGGCAAAATGATAATCTTATTTGCTGGAAAAGAAAAAAAAAATTGGAATATGGCCATAAACAATACTGAAAAAAGTTTTCATTAAGCCCCCAACAGATCTACCATGAGTTTTAAATTTCAAATTCCAATGCTTTTTTGATCCTTGCAAACACAATTTCAAATCATGATTCAAAAAGTTACTTACACTATTATATTATAATTTAACTATATCATAATTGCATACAACCAACACAATCTCAATTCAAATTTAAGATTTTTTCTAACTGTCTTAATCATTAAAGAATCAATAAATAATAATTTCTATTAAAAACTATGTTAAAAATTATAAAATAAATATATTTATATTTTTTAAAATTCTTTAGTCAAGGATCTTAAAACAATGATTATTATTATTCTTTAAAAAAATTATATAACGGGTTATAAATCTTTGCAATCGTAACCATGGTTTATGAACAAAGTGGCCACCGCCTAATATGGTGCTGTCATATTACATCAATGCCTATCTGTCATTACTCACAAACCTGTTTCCATAGTCACTATGAGAAAATCTCCCCATGACATGCTAACATTTGGTCACATTATTATCCTTGTTCCATGTGATGCATTTAAACCATAGTCAAATGTGTAAAAATCAAGCAAAACATGTGACGATGACACATTTGGTATCTAGCAGTGATGCCACCACCTTTCCAAATAATGTTGATCAATTATCATCACCATGTTATAGTGATGCCATTTTCTCTTTTCTTTATTTGTCCCCCATTATACATAGGTTGCAATCAATTGAATCAAGTGCCATAACTTTCGGGGATTGGCAGTTGAAAACCCATCATCCCCACATGCCGCAGGGTTCCTTGCAGAGAGATCTACTGAGTAAGATCTACCCATTTATGGATATATATACACTTCATTTCCTTCAACTTCTTTCTCTCCCACCCATACCTTCTTTAAAAGTCACTAAAATGAAATTTTTTCTTAACAAAATAAAAATAAAGGCCCAAACTAATTCTATGAAATACCCGAGAAACATTTTATTTGTTTCAAAAAATTAATTCTTTGATCTTTCAAAATTATAAATATAAGATAATTTTCTCTTTTTATATAAAGTCAACACTTCTTACGTGTTTGAAAATCCAAAAAACAAAACAACAAGATGTCCAAGCAAAATGCCTTTTATTCAATGTTAGATATAGTTCATTTCGATAAAAATAAATTTAAATTGTTAAATATATCAATAAATATATTAAATTAATTTGAATTATATATTTCTTCTTTAAAATACATATTTTTGGTTTAAAAAAATTAATTTTATAACTTCATCACAAACTCAGACCTAAAGTCCAAATCGGAAGTGAACATAAGTCATTTGTAAGTTTAACAGTTTTTTCTACATTGAAACTGAGTAACATCTCTTAAAATTCTTGTAAACAAAAAAATATATATAATTTCCCAGTCCCCAAGGGCCTCCCTTTCAATTCAGCATAAGGATTCAGATATGATCCAGATTATTGAAGGCATAACTATTAACAAACTGATATAGAAAAAGAACCGAAAAAAATAAAATAAAACAGATAGGATTAATATTTATGAGGAAGATGATACATACCTGAACAGGAGTGAGTTGTCTAAGGTAGAACATATCAGAAGTTTCAGGCACCCCATTAATGGTTCTTCCCATTCTAGCACACACTTTAGAGTCCCGAATACAAGAACTAATCTTCCCCCAGTAACTCTCACTCGCCACGCGCTCCTCCAACCAACCCGAATAGTCTTGCAGGTAATAGTCCAAGTAAGCCCGGTTCATCACTCTTCGACCCGACCCTTTATCCGTTACCACATAGGCGAATATTATGAAGCCAATAAGCACCGCTATGATGACAAACATGACCACCAAGTAGAGTCGCATGAGGAAGGTGTTGCGGTAACACGCCCCCGCAAAACCCGCTAAAGAGACGACCATGATGCTGACACCTATTATGATCAACGGCCACTGAAGAAACTTGAGACAATCCGTATTGTTGGCTCTGCTGCTCAGCCATATCCCACCTCCTAGTATTGGAATCGAAAGCAGGAACGTTAAGAAGTTTAGTACACCAATCAAGTGGTTGCTTGTTCTCATCTTTCTCACACCACCTTAAATGATTTTTTTTTAAATTTTTTTTTGTGATTCTTCTGGTGTTTCTCTTTCTTGTGTTTGAATCTCTAGCTCTATGGTAGAGTTGTGTGATAGTAAACGAAGGTTTATATTTATCAGATGTAGATGGGTGTGGGGTTGTGTTTTCAACTGGTTAATTTATTATGAATCTCTAATCTCGATTTTGGTTTTGGACATGTGTCCGTTTCAAATGACTGAAATACCCTCGCTCATTTTTAAACTCCATGGCTCTTTATTACTTTATAGGGACGTTACAGATGTTTTCATATTGTTCCTTAATTAAAATTAAAATAAATTTTATAAAAATAAGCCCGACGAATTACATCATTTTTTTAAGTTTATAAAAATAAATTTTTGTTAAATGTTAATAAGTGTAAGTAAAATTTATCCAAATATTTATAATCTTACATCCAAGTTTTGTTGGTATTTTCGTTATGAAATGATGTGTTCTTTTTAATGTAATGATATAAAAATATTAATCTTAATTTTTAGATCTAAATTAAATAATTATTAATAATAATATTTCAATAAAAAAATTATACTTTTATATTTTTATATACTGAAATTTGACTTCAAAAATTAAGATAAATAAAATGCACAGTACTACTCTTCTTAAAATAGATTATGTTGAAATGTTATGATAGTGTATTATGTGTTAGCTTCTTCGAAGGTGTGTTTAGTTTTTTCAGCCTTGTCATCTTTGGAACGAAAAACTTAAAAATTATAGAATAATGCGTTATTTGTAGGTTTAAAAGATAATTATTTTATTAATTCCGTTCACCGTTGAGGGAAGTTACAAATGAGTGGGAGGCTCCATTCACCGAGAACGCGTTATACGTATAGCAGACCAATTTTCTATGTACTCTCTTTGTTTGGATAACAAGTAAATATAATAAGCATAAATTTTAGGGGAAGTATTATATTATTTTTATTATTCATTTTTAGTTAAATTAAATTTTAATTTTAAAATATTATATTATATCAAAGTTAATATGTAGGCCAAAAAAAAGTTAACATATGCTGTTATTTATCAAAGTAAATTTTATTTTTAATTAAAAATAACATTAAAAATAAATATTTTTTAATAATGTGTAGGGTTTGTAGAAAGTAAATAAATTATTTAAGTGAGTATATTTTTTAAAATATAATTTTTATTATTTAAAAATTAATTATTTGTTAATTATATATTTATTTGTTTATAAAATATATTTTTTTTAATAATTATATGTGACTTCCATACAAGATAATTTGTTTGAGGCGCAAGCTTTAACTCGATCTTAAAATTACATTAAAATAATTAAAATAATATTTCTTGCATTTGCTGGTAATTAGTAACATAAAAGGTGAAAATATTTTTACACTTCTTTAAATAATGTGATTTTGGTGTAAGTGTTTAAGAGATAAAAAATAAAATAAACAATAAACGATACAATTAAAAAAGAATAGATGAATAAAAAATAACAAATAAAATTTGAGATATAAAAAAAATGAAGTATGGAACTTTATCATAACTTTAAGATATTTATTAAAATTTTTAAAACAATTGTTAAAAATTATGAATGCACACTCATGTACTAAAAAACACACTCCTACTTTAATTTTTAATATATTTTTTAATTTTTTAAGCAATGTTTTAAAAAATTAATTAACAAAATTATATAATTAATTAGACTACATGAAATGAGTCCATTGTCTTTTTTTAAATGTCAGAAACATATTTTTAAATATACTCTTTATTGTGAACTAGAATTTATTAAAATTAAAAATTTATATGAATTTTATTCATGATTTTATACTTAAAAAATGAATTAATGATAAAAATATATTAAAAAATTATAACGCTGTCATACTTTTTTTAAGCCATGGGTAGCTCAAGGTATGATTCTCCTTGTTTTATTTTCGTGGGCCATGTTCAAATGAGAATGATTCTTTTATTGGGTCAACAAATGACAGAGAGTTGAGCAGAGAAAGTTGAAGTTCCTAACTCTGCCATCAAAATGAACAGTCGATTTCGTCTTTTTAATGGGTTTTCATGGGCATGGTAATGGGTAGTTAATTTGCAGTTGTAGAGTCCCCTTCACCCTCACTCAACCCAAGCATCGTTGAGGAGTGTTACACCACACTCTTTTGTTGACCAAAATAAAAAAAAAATCCATTTTTAAATAAATATATATATATATATATGATAATAATTAATTGTTTAAAAAATAAACAACCAATTTCAGAATGAATATTATGATTTTTAAAAATAAATATATTTAAAAAACTTTTAGAAATTTTCCTTTTTTATAACACTTTTTGCATTAGTGATATAAAATTTGTAAGTGTATCTAACGTCACTCTTAAAACTTCGTTATTACTTCACTTTTTTAAGTAATTTTTTTATAATTATATCATTAATGATATTTTATATAAAAATAAAATAAAACAATAATAGGTACATGAAAATGATAATAAATATTCTCATCGTTTGTAACTTTGTACTGATGTTTATGTATTCGTTTAATTTACAGTTTAAAAATAAAAATTTTAATAAAAATAATTTAAAATCATTAAATATAATTAAAATATACGTACAAATTAATGTGACCTGTGTATTTTATTAAAATGTATAATTTTTTTAACTAAAAACATATAAATTTGATTTTTCAACTTTCAAACAAACAAGTTTTTGAACATTTCTCAGGAAATTTTCAAAAGAATAATAATAAATGGCAGAGGAGCTTTAAGAATGGCTCATGGAAGAGTTAACTTCGTTGGATCTTGACGAGTGATGACAAAAGAAACCAGACAGTCCAAAAAAAAAAACATTATTGTATATTATATGACTAACAAATGTGGGTCATGCCTCCATAGACATGCATGCAAAGGAATCCAGCATAAAGTTAGTACTGAAGCTGCAAGGTAATTTCAAAGCTCCCGGGTTTTATGGTCAAACCTTTTTATCTTGTATTTATTATATTCTTACACAAACGATAGTGATATAAATAATGACATTGTTAAAAAAATATTATGTCTCACTAACTTCAATTTTACTCTCTATTATTTGAAAGATATTCAAATGTGGCTTTGAGTTTTGTAACAAAAGCCGTCCACAACAGCACAAAAACTGGGCCATTACCTTAGTTGTACATTTTGTATTTTATTGCATTGGTTTTGGTACTGACAAGGTCACAAAATATATATAATTTTTAAATAAGTACTCATAAGGGATAAGATATTTTTGTGGACCACTTGCATAGTAGAATAAACAGTAGAGGTTGATGCAGTTTATATACCTGTAGATCTCATGTAAATTTCATCCCTACCATTTAAATGTTTCATGGTATGATCCTCTGTGACTGTGAACAGTGGATTTGATAAGTCTTTACTGTTTCACCTAATACGATATTGCCCTTATTTGTGTTTATGTGATTTTTCTTTCTTTCTTTATATAGCTCCATTTATTGTTTTATTCAGCACTGGTTCTTATTAGGTATATACTGTATATGTTGTTCACTTACATTCTTACACGGATAAATCTCACACAATAGCAAGATTGTTGTAATTAGCATCATCAATTTGATTCACTCCCTCTTATTATTGTCTCTGCTGCTATTTATTTGTATACAAAAACATTTTTTATTTATCTGTTTACACAGAAACTAAAGACAATATTAACTTTTATTTTTTAATGATTTTTCATATAAGATTTCTACATTATTTAAGTAGTTTCAAAGTTAAAAAATTATTAATAAAAAATAAATTAATTTTTACTAAAATATTTAAATAGAGTAAAAAAATTAAACGAATTTAATTTTATAAAATAAAAATTTGTTTAAAAGTGAGCTTCAAGTGATAAAATTTATATTTTAAAAAAGTATACAAAAGTAAGTTTATAACAAAATTAAAAGTAAAATCAATTGTATTATAAATTTATCAAATATATTGACAATTTTTAAATTAAATTGACCTTTTTAAACTTAATTTAATGCAAACCCAAACCAAGCTTGATAACAAATTCTACGATGTTATATTTGGGCACGTATGTACCATGATTTATGGTAACGAAAAATGCTACCAACACATTATTTTATTATTTATTAAAATTTATTAAATATTAAAAAATATAAAAAACAATTTAAAAATAAAAAATGATATTTATATAATTTTTATAGTTTTGAATAAACTTTAATTAATAATAACAAATATTAATATTAATGATTATGTTGGTGTAAATGAGTATGAAAGTAGGGAAACATTTGTAGACAGGCTAGGCTGAAAACGTGCGTACTCTCACTGAGTGTATGCGTCACGTGAGGACCTCTCTTTCTTACAATATTAAATGCTTAACGGAAAATGGATAAATATCACCCCCTCTCCGTTTTCTTTGACTATATTAAGAACTTGTGAAAGTTATGGAGTGAGTAAAGGTTGCTAGAGGTATTTCTTTTTATTTCTTATTGATTGGTTTTTAAAATTATAAAAAAATGGAAGACTTACAAGCATGTTTGAATTTCAATTAAGAACTTTCAAAATATATTATGGTTTAAACAAAAGCATAATAAGGCAAGATTTTGCTGAAACTATGGTTTAAAACTTTCTAACTATAATCCATACACACCAATAGTCGTTTCTCATCACTCAGAATGACTGTTTATTTTATCACACCTTTTATGGGTTCATAAAAGATAACTCCTACAAATTATAATTTTTTTTTTTATTATTCTTTACACTAAGACGATCTTTTATATCTTTTATATTTTAAAACTTTTTAAAATTGTTTTCTTATAAATAATACACTTCATTGTAGAGTCTGAACAGATTCTGCTGAAACAATCACATAGTGCAAATCTTACATGACATCACAAACCTAATACGAAAAATAACAACAGTGTCATTATTATACACAAGAAAGAATATTATTTTTCTGACTCATGGCATAATGCACAAGTAGAACCAACTAATAAATGGGAAGTTTTTGGGTGTAAGAGTTTATAATGCATTATTGTGTAATTTTATGGTTTGTAATTTTTATCCGAGTCATATAGTAACACACTACGACTTTTTACTTTAAATAACTCAATAAGTAACACACTACTGCATTTTACTTTATATAACTTAATAAGTAACTATCCATTCTAATGGAATCCATACATCTCTCTCTGACATCTGTGTCTCTGTTAACCAACCATAACTTAAATATGCTATTGTCTTTACATGTAATTGTCACCTCAACTCACTCCAATAATAGAACCCAATTTGGCATGTTGCTTATTTGTTAAAACTGGTTAGTAAACCGGTGTTGGAAATTAATACTCTAAATTAATAACGCATGTAATTAAAATAATATTTATTGATCAATACATAATTTTTTTTAATAAAAGTTGCCTTTTTATTGTCATACAAAATTCAGATCGGCCCGCTGGACATGAAACACAAATTGCTGAACCCATTTTGTTGGGCTGATCTGGCTCAATTAATAAAAGTATTAATAATCTAGTTCATTTTAACTAATGATTTCGATCAATTTTTTTAACTGTTTTTTTCAAATGCCGTGAATAACTTATTTAATATTATTTATAACATCAAATCTTAGACTTAAGTTTAATTACATACAAATAGTAATTTTTAGTAAAAATATAATATTATCATGTTTTTATATTCTCAAAATACTAAATATTTTAAATAAAAAATCAAATTTAATTACTTATTTTTTTTAATTTATATTATTTTTCTAAATAAAAGTGTCCATATCATGGGAGGAAGAAAAGAAATGTGCATGTTAACAAGGAGACTCTACACAGGATTTGCATCCATGTAGGCCAAAGAAGAGAGAGAGATAGTACTATACTATATACATATACATAGGATAGGATATTGTGATAGGAGACATGAAATAGAGCATGCGGACGCAAAGTCCTACTTCAACCCAGTTAAATGAGGTGCATGAAATGACAACACTGTACTCTTTTGCTTCCCCCTTCTGTCACACTCTTTCTGTGTGTCTCACACACTTCCTTATTCTTCCTTTCTTCTCTTCATTTCCTATCACACTATTAAACAATTCACAGACAAGAAGAAAAAAGAACAATTGTTGCAAACACATTGTCGAAGAAGTTCAACACGAGAGTCCTTCACCACTATAGGTTAGAACTTACAACTCATGCCATGGATGCTCCATTTTTCTTACTACATTCTAAAGAGACCCTTTAACTTGATGCCTTGAGTTTCACTTCATCTTTCCTTCTTCACATGTTCTTTGTTAGAATCTCTCTCTCTCTCTGTATGTAGTGGTTTTCGTTCTTAATTTACAAAAACAAGAACAAAACGTTTGTTGAACGTGAATGATGCTTCTTTTCTACCTCTTTTTTTATTTATTTTCTTTTATGAAAAGCGCTTTTTGCTTACTTGTTGTGCCGAAAGAAACTGACATTCAATATTTGAGCTGAGGAGCTGCAAGGATTCGTAGCTTTCATGTGTGATGTATTTTTCATATATTTTGTTAAAAGCAAAAGGAATATTTTTTAAATAAAGGGTGATTCCATAGCGTACTTCTTTTGTCTGTTTGTTTCTGTGCTTCTTTCGCTTTTTATTTTATGCTTTAATAAATTATTATTAATAATATATTTCTTAATACTAACTTCTTCTCTCTCATTTTCATTCTCAAAAGATGGATTTTCAGTGTTCCATTATCTTCTTTTGTTGTCTAGTTTAGTGGGTTTGCATGCTTTCTCGTTTGATGTGGATCTGATTCCCCTTGTTTTTCCCAATGAAATTGAAAATCGTTATCCTTACACGAAGTGAACTTCGAGAGGTTTTTCCTTCTACGTTTTGGCGTTTACCTTTTCAGCTAAGTACATAAGTAGAGAAGCATGTTTTGTTAGGAAATTGAGTTCAGTTGTGTACACAAGCATAATCGCCTTGTTTGTTTCCTCATTGAAACAATCATGTGAAAAATGTCAATGGGTTAGAGGCTCGGCAAAGTGATCATTTGGTCGCCTTTGGCAGACAGAATCAGAAGTTTTGAGCATTTTTAGGTAAACTGATTATGCGTTCATGTCATACCAAGTTCGCATCCAAAACTCTATCGTTGAATGAAACGTGCCTTGTTTCACGGCAAAATTGGAGGCTAAGAAATTTTCCTTTGATTTACAAAAATGCCCATTTTGCAAGTATGGGCAAAATGGTATTTTGACTATTTTCTTCCTTTGAGATGGCGAAATCTTGGGCTCCTAAGTAATTTTCACGTTTTTATGTTGTAGTTGTAGGGCCCTCTTGATCATACATAACAGGGTGCTGTTAGCATGAAAGACCTTATCATAGCATTAGTTGGTATAATGAAAACATTTTCTTTCATGTGTGGACCTACGGTTGACATATTGTGGTGAGAAATGTTCTTTTAACAATAAAAAAGGTTGTATTTTTTTTATTAGACAGAGATAAAAAAAAGGAAAGGGAGAGAAGTAGATGATTAGATAGGTAATGTGATGAAGAAATATAAAGATAAATTTTTCTAGAAAATTATTGTGGAAATAATATAATTTTTTTTGTGTTGATACCGATCTGCTTGACTTTTATTTTTCCATACTTTGATTGCGGTGTCCATCTGTTTTACCTGTACACACTTTTTGGTGATATCTGATGAATATCTAAAAGGATTTCTGTATTAACTATTCTTAAAAAAATTGTGATACTTTTTGGTACTCTGAAAGGGGGTAGGGGAAGAGCTAGTCACCAGCGAGGTACTATTTTTAGCACTGAAGTGAAAATCAATGAGCAAATCTTTTGCATTTATAGCCTAGGAGGTGAAGATAAAATCATCCTATCCTGCATGATCACATTTATTTTATCCATTACTTCATTAACCTTCACATTGGATTCGCTTGTCTCAATTTGTGATATTTGTCTGAACTGTTACAGTCCTTGTGGGTCAGGGAGCATTCAAGCAGTGAGGCCCAAATCTTTGACCCATTTCTCTTTACTGGATAGAAGGCAGTGAAGCCATGCAGACCCCAAAGACAAGGTAATTTGAATTACTTTGGCCATTGCTCTTTTCCTGTTTAATTAATGTTGCTTTTGTACTTTGATAATTCAATAGGATTTGATTTTAGTATGCAATTTGAAAGCCAAATCGGCTAAGTGGTATTGTTTACCTTGATTTTTGTGGTATTTCGCTAATTTTCTCTAATAAAATGTAATCTAGTATTTCTAAAACAGGAGAAAATGTTATATTGAAATCTATCATGAAATCAACTTAGTGGTATTGTTTTACCTCTTTTTTCTTTTACATATTTATAAAAATTTATCTTGAAATATTATCCATTGCCGAAAGCTAACCAAGATAACATCACTCAACAACCAATAAACATTATTGATTTCATCAACATAATACGTGTTATTAATCTATCCTTGGACTAGTTAGGCCAATTTGTGTTACAACATAAAAAGCAGTTTGATGGCTATTTGTCTTCTAGCCTTAAGGCCTAATCATGTCTCAGCGTTTTTCTTTTTTGGTTTCATTATGTTTTATTGAATGCCTCCTTCCTTTAACCGCGTAATGGGAAATTGGGACCCGGGGCAGTTATCATCAATTCTAATTAGTGAACAAAACATTATTACTATTTTTTTTCTATGGTTCGTTCGCCTCATTATTACTATATATATATATTTTTCAAATGACTGTCAACATTATTAAAAACATTATATTATATGGTTGGGACAACATGTAGCACCAACTATCCCCATTACCAGTAATTAGCTAGAGCAATGGTGATAATATATCTTGAAAGGATAAGATTCTCCGCCAATTACTAGAAAGTTTTAATTGGAAATTCACTGTTAATTACCTTGTTAATTAATAATGGAAACATATTTCATAACTTGTGTTTGGAAGACCCTTTTCATTTCAAACTGAATTTATGAAGTTGGTCACACCTAAGTTATATTACCCATGCTTTTTTGCAACTTGTAGTAGTCTCTAAATTTGTGCTTAGAAAACACGTTCATTTTCAAACTGAATTTATGAAGTTGATGACACTTGTGTTATATTAGGAGATACTTTGTTCTAACTTGTAGGGGACCTCACATGGTTGTAGTACTCCATTGCTCTTCTCTGTTGAGTCTGTATTTTTGTCTATTTAAGTTTGGCTTCAAGAATGGTTTGACTTATTTAGTCTCTATGTTCTATCATCTATCTTAAAGAATTTGTTCTGCCATTTGAGTGTGAGGATATTGTTCTACATGGCAACAAGGTATTTAATGCTAAAATTGAGAGATATGGGTTTCCATTATCCACAATGGATTTCACTTGTTTACATTTGCTTATTCTGATTTCAGAAGTGGCTCCTCTGAAGTACCTCAGAAGGTGTCTCCACGTGCTGTGCGCCAACTCAAGACTGCTTCTCTAGACAATGACTCTGTATCTTCTGTAAGTCAAGCTACTAAATTATCAAAGGAAAGGAGCCCCAAAGTCAGTGACCGTAGATCACCCAGAAGCCCAGTTCCTGAGGTAACAATTTTTAAGCAAATATTTAACTGGAAGTGTTTGAACTTGGAATCATAGCATCTGTTGGATAACCATGACTTTGGAACCTTAGCTACATACCTTTTTTAACACACTCGAGTATTGATTAAAATTTATTAAAAATTATAAAATAATGAGTCAGACTCGTTAAAGTAAGAATGAGACTCATAATTTTTATAATTCTTATCAAATTTCAGCCAATAATAAAAGATAAATTTGAAAGAATGTGTTGCTAACATTTCTCATATTTTGGATAGATTTTTTCCTTTAAAAATGTACTTTTTGCCACTGGGAAGGAAAAATAATTTTGGAGAAATGCAAATACTTTTAATTCCTTTGAAAAAAACACTACCGACTTTTTATATATGTTTTCCGCATTAATTGAATTTTATAACCTTTTTTTGCCTGTTTATACGTGCTTTCGATAAGGAAAAAAATTGTCTTCTAATTAGCAAACATATGTTAAAAAATTATGATAATCAGATAAGATTTTGAAAGAAAAAAAGAAATCCAAAAAACAAATGTTTTAGTGTTTTAATTGGAAAGTAAACCATCATAATTTCATGTTGCTTTAGAGGAAGCGCCCCAGCCGAATATCTGAATTGGAATCTCAAATTTCTCAACTCCAAGATGATTTGAAGGTGGTGAGGGACCAGCTCATTTTGTCTGAATCATGCAAGAAACAAGGTCAAAAAGATGCTGAGGAGTCCAAGGAGCAACTATTAGCATTATCTGCTAAACTTGAAGATTCACAAAAACAAGTTATGGAGCTGTGTGCTGCTGGGGAAGCTCGTATTCTTGAACTCCAGAAAATTATAGAAGAACGTGACATGGCATGCCAATCTGAACTTGAGGTCTCCAAAAAGCAACTCTCAGTTGACTCTCATGCCTTGGCCTCTGCAATGAATGAAGTTCAGCTGTTCAAGACCCAACTTGAATTGGTAGCTAATCATGAGTGTGTACAAACTCAACATGCAGAATCAACAGATATGGAGCTACTAACCCTGAAGCAAAATTTGTCAGAAGCGCTCTCTCTTGTGGACAGCATGAAAAATAAATTAAGGGACTGCAAAGAATCTGAAGCTCAGGCCCAAGCATTGGTCAATGCAACTATGTTGCAACTTGAGGCTGCAAAAGGAACTGTTGAGTTCCTAAGGGCTGATGTTGCAAAAGCTGTTGATGGCTACAATTCCATTGCTTTAGAGTTGGAGCAGTCTAAAGCAAAGGTGAACTCTCTAGAGGCACTTGTTAGGAAACTTGAGAAAGACCCTATCAATAATAAATGCAACCATTCTGAAAATCTTGCAGATGATCAAAGATTTGAGCACCAAGATGAAATATTGAAAGAGGGAGAGCATCCTAATTACATGGAAGCAGAAATTATATCTTTGAAATCTGAGGTTGGAAGACTGAAATCTGCTATAGACACTGCTGAGTCTAAATACCAAGAAGAACAGATTAGGAGCACGGTGCAGATCAGAAATGCTTATGAACTTGTGGAGCAGATAAAATATGAATCAGGTGAGAGGGAATGTGAATTAGAGGCTGAGTTGAACAGAAACAAAGCTGATATTGAAGAGTTGAAGGCTAACTTAATGGACAAGGAAACTGAGTTACAAGGTATTGTGGAGGAGAATGAGAACTTGAGTTTAAAACTTGAAAAGAGTATGTTATCCCAAAATGAGCATGAACTCAGAAAGGAAATTAAAAGATTAGAAGAACATGTGGCTGAGTTGAAGGCGGATATGATGGACAAAGAGACAACACTGCAAAGCATATCTGAAGAGAATGAAATGCTGAAGTTGGAAATCAACAAGAGGTTCTCAGATGGTGGGAAAGTGAGAGAGGAAGTTGCTGCTGAAGTAGAGGGTGCGAAGGCTGCGAAACGTGAAGCTATCATGAAACTTGGCATTGTGTTGGAGGAAGCAGATAGAAGCAACAAGAAGGCTGCAAGAGTGGTTGAGCAACTAGAAGCAGCACAAGGAGCAAACTTAGAAATGGAAGCAGAATTGAGAAGACTCAAGGTACAATCAGATCAATGGAGAAAGGCTGCAGAAGCAGCAGCTGCTATGCTTTCAGCAGGAAACAGTGGGAAACTCACAGAGAGAACTGTGTCTTTGGACAACAACTATAAGTGTTCACCCTATGCTGATGACATGATGGACGATGAGTTCCAGAGAAAGAAAAATGGTAACATGCTGAAGAAGATTGGAGTCTTGTGGAAAAAACCTCAAAAACAGTGAATGTCTGATTTATGATGTGTACTAAAACTGTGGTACGATAATTGTGTTCATGCGATGTTTATGTCTTTTGCAATTTTGTCTGACTATGTAAATCCTGTCTGCATCTGAAACTGTTTGTGACATGTACTTGCAAAATTGTTATTTAGTTATTGAATGAATTAAGCTCTTTAAATAATTTCCCTTTCCCTCTTGGACAAAAGCTTTTGCAGCTTGCTTAGGTTTAATTATTTGTTTGGGAAGTTGTGTTTTACACTTACAGAGCTGTTTTTATTATAAAAGGTGACATCTGAATTTTGCTAGGAAAATTCACTCAATATTTTTTAAAATTATAACTTCCCACAGTTTCTGGTTTTTTAATCCTTATATATATATATAGTTTGGGAGCAACTGTTTTTAATCCTCTTAAAAATAATGTTTTGAATACTTTCATATTGATTTTGAAAATTCTATGCGTAAACATTTTTATATAATCAAAATGAAGTATATAACGTTTAAAGCACTTTGCATAAAATGAAGTGTCACTTTTGGGTCAGATAAACAAAATTCAATCCGTATTTGTTTTATTATTTTATTTTATTTTGTCAATGTTTTTTTATTAGTGAGATAAATAAAATAATGTTTTGAATACTTTCATATTGATTTTAAAAATTCTCTCGGTAAAATAAATATTTGATATAATTAAAATGAAGTATATAACCTTTAAAGTACTTTTCATAAAATGAAGTATCATTTTTGGGTCAGATAAATAATATACAATCCGTTTTTTGTCAATGTAACTTTTTTAGTGTGTACCCAAAATTGAAAAATACAATTGTTTTGGTGAATACATCAACGGAACAAAAGCCCAATCCCAAAAGCAAAAGATACAGATCCAAAAAGATAAAAAGAAGGTTTCAGTGGAATAACAAAGCTTTTAGACCATATACATTTGGGCCTTTAAACAGGCTTCAATGGGCTGGAAAAAAAAACCTTTTTTCAAAAGCGGAAATAGAAATTTTATTAACGGGTTCGATTTGGTTAGGGTTTTTGTCTGGCGCCTGAGCAGTGAGTAGTGAGTCTTTGGTTCTCACTCGACTTCGTTCGCTTCAGAAGCTGTGATTCGTACTCGCCACCATGGGGTGAGTTTCATGTCGGACTGTTTATTGAGTTTGAATTGTTATTTTTGTTTCGACCAAACTATCATTACTTGTTCTAATGTCTTTGCTCTCTCCATTTTACATAGAGGAATCATTATTGAAACGGGGTTTGGAATAGTATTTGCTTCACGCCAGAAGTAGAGGGAATTTGAAAATTATTGTTTTTTTTAATATAATTTAAATTGATTTGTGTACATTATGTGTATTTTTCTTATTGATTATATGTTGGTTCCATTGAGAGCTTGTGTGTGTGTGTGTGTGTTTTCTATTTGTTGCACTTGCCAATTCCTGTGCAACTTCTAAAGAAATAATATAAAACATGGGCATACATAATATGATATTGTCAGAAAGAGGTGGTTTTGCTGTAATTAAACATGCTGTTTGTTATAGAGTTGTGGGTGTATAGCAAGATGTATAATTGATCATCTTGGCCTTTAAGAATGTAGCATTTTATAAAATGTTAAAAACCTGTTTAGGAGAAGAATTTTAATCCATTCAATATCTACTGCAGGAGTTTCCCTTTTGTTTTGAATTATACTTGTCTGGACCTTTCATAGTTATGGAGTATGTCTAGAGTGATTGCATAATAAAATATCTAATAAAACTTAATTTATTCAGTGGTTCATAGGAAGTCTTAACACACAACAGTGCAATACATTACATCCTTTCTATCATGTTTTGCTTATGTCAATTGAATCACTGTTTATTATCCAATCTTTGGTAATAAATTAAAATGCCCAGTATCATAGGGTGGATTAATAATAGTGATGCATTATGCTTTCCTTAAAAATTAAAATTAATACACGGCTGCTGGTATTTTCTCCTTTGTTAGGAAAACACGTGGTATGGGAGCTGCTCGCAAGTTGAAGTCCCACCGAAGAAGGCAGAGGTGGGCTGACAAAGCATACAAGAAATCACATCTTGGAAATGAATGGAAAAAACCATTTGCTGGATCATCTCATGCCAAAGGCATTGTTCTTGAAAAAATGTTGGTCTAATATCCTGTCCATGCTTTTATTTGTATAGCATTAACAAAAGGTTTGACTGAATGATTGTCTCTTACAGTGGGATTGAGGCCAAGCAGCCAAATTCTGCTATTAGAAAATGTGCTCGAGTACAGTTAATCAAAAATGGAAAGAAGATTGCAGCTTTTGTGCCAAATGATGGTTGCTTGAACTATATCGAAGAAAATGTAAGTTTTCCTAAAACAAGATGAAAGGGAAGGGGAGGTATTGGGGTGAATTAGTTTTGTTTCTTTTCCTTTCCACTTCAATGTTGAAGCTTATTGTAATGACTCATGCAGGATGAAGTGCTGATTGCTGGTTTTGGTAGAAAAGGGCATGCCGTCGGAGATATTCCTGGAGTTCGATTTAAGGTTGTGAAGGTATCTGGGGTGTCTCTTCTTGCCCTCTTTAAAGAGAAGAAGGAGAAGCCTAGGTCTTGAATTATTGCTTATATTAGTTCCTATCTTTTTTTAATTTCAACATGGTTCTCTTCTCTCTATCCTTTTGGCCCTATTTTCTTTCTAGTGCTTTATGGAACTGGAACCTTACCCATTTCAATTTTATGTGTGGACTTGCAAAATATATGACTATTTGTTAGTTTATTGATTGTTATGGAAAGAGTATGGTTTGTTTATTAGCTTTCCGCAAGTTTTGCTCTTCCTTCAATCACCTTCGTAGTTGCAATTTGGCATTGAACAGTGTAAAATCCAGCAATTGCCAAACGGGAAGGCTTTTATTTTCCAGCTTATTGCTACTGTATAGAAAAATATAAACCTTCAGTAATAACCTCGGAAGGTTAAACAGCGCGAATCTCTTAAGTTAATCAGATGCTGAACATTAAAATTTTGTTAATAATGTTACACTCAGTCATTTCACATGGATAGAAATTTTACTGATATGTAAATTCAGTTGATACAGCATGGAGATGTATTTGAAATATTAATGTTAGACTCTTCCCTTTTGTAGAGATCTTATTTTCCAGGTCCTCTGTTTTGTGGGCATTTTGGCTCAAACAAATTAAGAGTCCGTTTGTTTGTTTTTTCATGAAAAAGTATTTAAAAAATAAAAATCAATTTGCAGTTTTTCAAATTGATTGTGATTATGAAAAAATTACAAGTTAAAAATAATCTTATTTTATCTCTTTTAGATAAATTATTTCGAATAACATCTAGAAAAAAGCTGAAATTATAAATATTCACTAAAATAAAAAATTTAATATTTGTAGTGAAACAAAAATTAACTTCTAAGTTCTATAAATTCTTTCAAAAGAAATCATTTTTTATATATTCTTTTTTTAATCGATGCTTTTTTATATATTCTAAAAATCACTTTTTTCATGAGCTGAATTATATGAGCCCTAAAATAAACAAGTTCATCACAGATCTTACATAAAGTCAATACCATCAATAATTTATTCATTACATCCAATCACTCACAATCACCTTGTGCGATATATGTGCCAATATTGATTGTACGCATAATAGCGTAAATTTTGATATGATGAAATAAGTACTTATGTTTTACTGTAACACGCGAACTTCAGGTTCTATAAGAACTTTCCATTTTAAATTTTAATATAATGATTATTAGAAAAAAAATATCGTAGTCTTCTCATTAGAAGAAACGTGTATCCGTGTATGTGCTGAGATGATGAGTGATTCTCAAGCCTCAACAAGACTAGATAGCGTCGCATTTAATCTCGCAGCTGTAATTCGATTGTCAAGAACAAGTGACATGTCCCTTGGGCCACAAGGTTCGACATATTTCAATTACGTGATTTGCTTCAACAAATTTTTGGGTGGAAAATAATATGCTTCAACTTGGGTCTCAAGATTCATACCTAACCAGGCTGAGCAGGGTTTAAACAGAGGATAAAATAGTTTTTAAAGAACCGTTTATGCTATTTATTAATTAAAATTAGAGTTTGATTTTGATAATATATTATAACATTAGATGTAAATTTTTTATTGAAGTAAAACTTCAATTTTAATTAGTAAACAACTCTGTCAACTTGTAAATTTTCTCTCTTAACAAAACGTCTTTTCACAATCTTTTTCGGAGAGGAATTTGCTAGACTTAGGATTCAAACTTGGTCATTGTGCATATGTCTTGCCAGCTCCCATTGAACTATCATTGCAAGAACTTCGTGTTTCTTTTGTTTCCTGGTGTAATTTTGGGCTAGGGTGACTATATCGAAAATCTCATACTTGATTTTCCCAGAAAATTAGAGCCAAGAAATTATTTAGAGAGATATTTGGTTAGAGAAACTAAAAGGAAACCATATTTACCGTTGATAGCAAGCTCATAGAATAATACTATAGTATAATGTTTGTGCCATGTGCTTGTCAGATAAACGAGATAGTGCTAGTTGTAGACTTTGACTAGCTGTACTTGCTCCACCTTGTTCTCATTTGAAGCCCCAACCAAAGTAGGCCCAGTCTTGTTTCTCTTTGAGCTGAATATGATGGTCAATTTAAAATAATGTCAATTGCTGATACGGTTCCTTTAATCATATTATTATGTGTCATAATCATCAAATTGAATATCAACCCTTGGCCCATCTATTTCCATCAATTTCTCTACCCTTAAGGACAAAAATGTAATTTCATCTCAACTAGGAGGAAAAATGAATTCTTCAATGCTATACAGCTGCATCAATTTTCTTATTTTCATACCCAAAGAATGAATTCTCAAGAATGACAGCCAAACAAACCAGATTCTCTCTCTGACTACATTGAATTTTTTATGCCCCAGAATGCAAGTCCTCTTAAAAAATTCAAACAGTGATGTAGCAATGTAGATTATTGTCATTGATAACTGAGGCACATTCAAATAATTTTCAAACTGATTACTGACGGTTTTCTCACGCCCAAATCCTAAGCTGGATTTGGTCTGCCAAGTGCTAAAGAGAGACAAAATCATTCCCGAAATTGGTGCTCATGCTTCACTGAAATTTCTAATTCTAAAATTCTTATAAGCTGATTCAGCGAGCTCCACTATTATATCATATGATAATGGTACATTGGTAACTAATTTAATCTAGTTTAATATTGCATATCAGTAATAGTCAGAACAAACATGTTCCACGAATCTACCTGAGGAGAATAAGATGCAATCCTGGAAGAATATCTTGAAACCATCACTAATTAAAAATCCAAAGCTCCTGAAAATTTGATTCTAACTGTTCAGAAAATTCAGGCTCTCAGGATGCATTAAACCATGAAACATCACTCTCATTCTCTCTATCTCCCTCTCTCATCTGTCAAATAAGGAAATGATGCTCTATCTACTTCTCTCCAACTTCATTGACTTGGTTAGCAAACAACCTCTGAAATTTCATTAGTCTATTCACCAATTTAAAGATAGTAGTACAAAAAATTTGACCATTTAAGGGGCAAGAAAAGAAAAAAAAAACAAACAAGAAATAAAAAAGAGATGATTCAAGTGAATCAAATCCCTATTAACCCAGCACTCAGGAGGATTGAAATTAAGTCCTAATTAGACTATTTTTTTAATCAAGCATGAGAGGAAATTAAATTATCAGTGCTTTGTGTCTACATTAGGGGGCTATTGAGAAGTCCATGCCAAGATGAAGTGATTCCATTCCAACTAGCTCTTCCTGAGTCAAGTTCACCCATGTTTGTGTCTCCATTGAGCTGCCAAGGGAAACCCCACAACACCCTACTTTCACTTTGTTCTCTTCCATTGCAAAGTTCTTGTTTCATGGTAGTGACCGTCACTGCCTGAGTGGTGGCAACACTCATTTCTTGATCATAAGGCAGCAGCATCTCTCCACTAACTCCAACCCCACAAGCATTGCCATTGTCCACCTCTCCCATGTCCCCATTCCCATATCCGTAGTACAGATTCTGCATGTTACTTTGGGTTCCAAGGAACCCACTTCTAAGTGCATCCAAGAATCCAGGGTTTGTGGATGAGGGGTTCATGCCAGGATTGCCAAGGATATCACATGGGTTGCTTGTCAAAATTGAAAGATCATGTTCATCATAACCCAATTGCCCACATGACTGCTTTTGGAGCCTTGCTAATGCAAGGGTGAGATCATTGGTATCATAAGACAATGGAGGGAGGCCAGTGAGTGGGTTGGGTGTGAATTGTTGATCTTGAACCCTCTTTGATGATGAAGATGATGATCTCTTGTTCTTCCTGCACCCTCCACCCACAGGAACATTCCTCAGTGTCCCTCCTTTTGTCCAATATCTCCTACAAGACTTGCAGAAATACCTTGGCTGAGAAAGGCTGTAATTGTTGTAGTAACAAAATTTGGTGTTGGTTGAGTCACATCTTGGGCACTTTAGAGCTTGCTCGGGCTGAGGCCTTGGCTTCCTCTCCTGTTGTGCTTTTGAACATGCCAACATGTTCTCCAATGACTGGCTAGACATTTGCTGCAACACAAAATATCCAAATTAGTTGACATGAAATGAACCACAAAAACCAATTAGTCCATAGTCAAATTTGAGTTATGTTTGCTTAGTCTACATTTATTTAAACACACAATCGGAAATGATGAAGAGTTAATTTTAAGAATTAGTAAAAAAATAAATTAAAACACACATCAAGTATACACATAATTAGATTTCCAATTTTTGTACTTTATTGACACCCAAAGGAATCACAAAGATGAAGATGTGAAACTTAATTCCCCTGACTTAATTTCCAGCTTGAGAGACATCAATTCTATACCCCAGCCATGTATAAGTATCAGTTTCATAGAAAACGCCATGAATGGTATACAACATGGTATAGAATAACGAAAGACCGACAGAACTTTCCTATGTAAATGAAAAAGAAAAATCATTTATTCTGTGTGAACGTCGTTTCCTTAGCTCACTCTTCCAAATTGATCTTGAGAAAGAACTAAAACCCAAAACCAAGTAATAGAAAAAACCATGAAAGACAATAAAAAGGCATAATTAAAGAAAAAAGACACGTTGATAGAATAAAACACCACGCATGCATGAATCATGATATGATATATATGCAATATCTCACCTGGTGTTGTCCACTAGAAGGATCCATCCATACACTAAAACTATGCACTCCTCAATTAAAACTTGAAAGGTGAGTGCTTTTGAGTATGTGTGGCTTGGTGTCTTTGTAGGATAGTACTTGAAAAAGGAAAAGAAAGAGAGAGAGAAAGAGAGAGAGAGAAACAAAGTAAAGATGAGAGAACTATAGAGATAGTTTAAGAAGTCATGCAAAGTGAGGTAATAGAAACCACAGGTGTAGGACTAGTTATATATAAAGCAATCCCAAGAGAGAGAGAGGCTAAGTAATGATGGGTTTTGCCGTACGAGATGATGGATGAGGTTGGCTTGCACGCAGAGAAAGCATTAAGAAAGAAAATTCGAGTGGCTTCCCTTCCCTTCCCTACCCAATTTCTGTTCTGCAACGGTTTCATACGAACCAAAAAACACAAAAACAAAAAGAAACACAACACCCTCAGTCTCGTGGGTCCCACTCTCGCGTGGATGCAACTATTAGTGGACCCCACTTTCCCTAAGGTCCCCACACATCCACCACTCCCTCTCCATAATCCACTCCACATGACACCACCCCACAAAATCCAATTCATCGCCCAAACACAAACACAACCAAAACCTCTGCGATCTTCGCAGCCCCCAAACACAAAACCTCGTCCTCCACACCCCCTCCCATGTTGTTTTTTTTTTTTTCCTACCCATCTACCAAATTTTTTTAAAAAATGAAACTTTAGAATAAATTGAGTATTGTAGTGCATAAATTTTTGTTGGGGTGGGAAGAAAAAGAAGGAATTGGTGGAAAGAGGTATTTGAATGTGTGTATGATGAGGTGGGACCCATAGAGAGGAAGCAGCAATGAGATATTATTAATTGAAATTGATGGAAGGGAAGGATTGTCGTCGTTTGTTGAATGTCCGAATGATGTAGACTTGTAATGATGTTGGGGACAGGCAAGGGGACACCAATGACAGTGACAGAGGATCTCCATTTTCATCTTCATCCATCCTTCGTCTTTTTGGTGCATTCATTCTCTTGTGCACACTCACTCACTGTTTCTCTTTTATTTTTATTTTTTGTTATATGCATTGATTCATTCATACATGGGATGGAACATATGTCACAGTTACTCATTCATTCATTCACACTCGCATATTCTTTCTTGTTAACGCTATGTGTGCTAGACACCTCACCACTGTCACCACTCACTCAATGTTCATCAGTCAATTTTGCTTTACTTGTTTTGGGGTCTTTTGGCCCTTCAATTTGGGTGCTGGTGGTCCCCCCTTCCTGATCATGATCAATAATAATCTCAACACAGTGAGTGACTTGTCTTACTCAACTCCCACTTATTGGATGCAACTCCTTAGTCCTCTACCCTTTGTTTTCCTTGTCACTCTACACCCATTGTTAATCACTTCAATGTCCTTTACCAAAAACAAAAAATTTATCAATAGCTTCCATAATTATCCACAAGGGAAAACATAAAAAACGATCTTTCTACATAGATAATGTTATAACGTCTTTCATTGCTTGTGCGTTAGTTGAAATTTTATATATGTACGCGGATTTTTAAACCACATTCATTAATTAATGAATTGATTTTGTTGGGATCATGCTGGATTCGATTCTTGACTATGTGTATAAAAAAATATATCAACAGAGACAAAATCCAATGATTTTTATACTTCGAAGAGAATTTTTTCGGCTATTAACTAGAATACCCTTGATAGACATATAAAAAGAAGTGTAAATGAAATAACAAAAAAAAAAAGTGTGTATGAAAAAAATTATTAACAGAGACAAAATTCAATGGTTTTTATGTCTCGATTGGATTATTTTTCGGCCATGAAATAGAACATCCTTTATACACAAAAAAGAAAAAATATATAGTCTACTACTGTGCAGATAGTATCTGCAATGATACAACATAATATACTTAATAAACGATAATTGATATCTCTATCTTGATTTCATACATTCATGTAAAATACACATGTTAATTTAACTATATATTTTTTTATTCATACATAATATACACACCCGCTGGCTAGAGCGTATCCTTGCAAAATCAGCAAGATTGGCCACCCTCATTTCCAACTATATCTAATATAATTTAGCAAAACAACAGACTCGAAGATTCATCTGAACCGCCAAATATATAGGAAATGATTATATGATAGTTGCCATTATTTGCCAAACGAATGATTAATTCCGTATTCTTGTTTTATTTAATCGATCTGTATATTAATCAGATATATTTCCTTCCACATGGCGTTTAATTTGTCGCTTAGCTGGTAGAAAAAAAGTACTACTTTCCTTTTTCCCTCAACCGATCTGTATCTTTGGGCTCGTTCTTTACTCAAAAAAATAATTAGAGAAAAGTTAACAGCCATCATTGCGTTTTGTAAATTTTTAATCCCAAGTTTAAATTAATCATGGGGCACACTATTTCTTTCTCTTTATCACAATTAAGATGAACATGCAAACCACCCCAGCTGATTGCTAACCTAACAAATCATAGCTATTATGTCCAAATCCCGGAAAAATAGATTAAAGGAGAAACAAATGTTGCATGGATGCATGTGATAGATATCTAACCAGAAATTTAACTAAGCAACACATCATAGGGCATTTAAGTATCTAGTATATATTCTCCCTACGCAAAAGAAAAAGTAGAACAATGGGCTACATAAGTAATGCTAGTACCTTCTATACCTTATGATTTGTACCTAAATTGGGTGTTATGTCTCCATTGCCATTCATAGCAGATTCTTAAGTGGTTGGCGGGAAATAGTATAATACTAACTATAATTCATACTGTCATTATCTTTTTGAGTACTAGTGGAAAATAATTAGCAAACAATGATTGATCCCACTTTGACATCCTTTGGATTCTTTGGAAATTTAGCTTTGAGTGCACCCTATGTAACCTTAAGTCCCTCCCTAGCTAGTATTCAAAGTAACCATAGATTGAAAGGAAAAAGAAAAAAATAATAATAGTATATGTTATTATATGGTGATTGAAATGAACGTGTGTGTGAATGGATGATGATTGTTGAGGATATTTTAAGTTGATCAAAGATTGGAGGATGCAAAAATATGTGGTGGGGCATGATAGTAGGTGGGGTCATGAGGCATGAACACATAGGGATCAGTCATGTTGGTTGACTGGTCAAATTTATATCAGTCAAAGGAAACACTGAGGGCAAAAAAAAAAGTAAAAGTAAGTGATGGGAAACTGTGCCCAACATCCCTAGGCACACAACAAATACGGTAATGTTGTTTGTATTAGCATTTCTGTGAAGAAAAGAATCTGGTGTTCCCACTTCTTTCTTCCACGCAGAATCTTTGTCTGTATGGTTGAGGTTGATATGTCATCTGATTTTGTGTGCTGTTTGGAGTTTAATAATCATAAATCATCCTAACAATTAACTATTTGGATGTGATGGGTTTTAGATGAAAATTATATATGAAAAGAAAAAGCGATAAAACTGTGTCAGATATATGTTAGGATAAAATTAATTTCATTGGAGTAGCCCATGAACAAAAAAAAAAGAAGGTAATAATGTTAACCACAAATCACCACACGTTCTAGCTTTGAAACTACTTGAAGGCAATGATCATGATAACTATTAGTTATATCGATGTAAAAGGCCGTTAATTTGCATCGCCATCACGGGCAACCCCTGTTGCTGATAATTTTACAACGCTTAGTTCTGTGGGGGAAATTGATTAACAGTAATATTTTATTCATATTTAATGATTCAAAATTAATTTTATTAAAATGGTTTTATTTTATTAAACGGGAATAAGTATTATATTTCTTAATGTTTGGTTATTCTGACAAACCAAAAATTTTCGATGACATAATTTTTTTTTATCAGTTTATAAAGAGAGAGCGAAAAAATGATGACGGAGAGATGAGTTTTGTTTCCAAAACTTTTGTTTGAGGGGGGAAGAATATTTGAAATTTTCTTTAATGCATTAATTGCATCCCATGTTTGGAAAAACCTGCATGTTGGAGATGGTACATATTTTTTGTTTTGCATAAAATGGCAAAGAAATATTCTAAGTAAAAAACAGTTTTTACCCCAAAAAGAAAATTTGTTTTCACGTTATGAAAGCACATGAAATTGTGTTCTGCTAACATTTCACGCATTCTCGATAATGAAATCAAATACAATATTTGCACAGAAGTTTAAAATATAAAAAAATTAATAACTGTGATTTTAGTCATTGATTTTCAAAATTATATAAATTTCAACTTTTTGAAAAATTTAAAATTTTTCTATTTTTTATTTCAATTCTTAAAAATAATTAGCTTCAATTCATAATATTTTTAAATGTAGTACTTTTACTCCTACTCACTAGACAAACAAAAAGTTGACATGTAGTAATTTTATAGTTAGCTACATTATTATTACAAACTTAAAGTGTTGAACTTAAAAAATTTATATAGACTAAAATTAGAAGAAGAAATTTGTTAGGACTAAAATCAAAAGTGATTTATATTTTTTACACTCACTTTCTTTTGTGTCTATTTTCATCATTTGTTTATTTTTATTTTATTTTGTACCACATCATTTGTTATATCTTAAATTTTATTTCTTTCTATCTCTCATTTTCGTTTGCTCCTTTAATTAACACCAGTTAATGAGTATCAAACAACCCTTTTATTAAAAAAATTCCATGAGAGTCAAATTTAATTAAAAAATAAAACTATATTTATCAAAATTGAAAATATAGTTAAATTAAATATAATTATTATGCAAGTTATTAGATGAATAAATCATAGTATATGGACAAAACCTCCAGTCAAGTTATACTTTTTTTTTATTAAATATTTTATAACAGAAAATCTTACTTCAGGCAAGGTTATTATGAATACTTCACTCGCTGATTTCAAGGGACAATATTAACTTGTTCTTAAACTTTGGACCGACAACTTAGGATAGGCAAGGCAACGATGGAAATGGATATAATAATGTTAAAATTTCACATAAGAAGAATATGTCTAGGTTTTATATGGATAGAATTTAAACATGATATTTTAAATATTATTTATTAAATAATTTTTTTAATCTCAAGAATTAACATTATTTTAATATTATATTGTATTATTTATGTATATCGAAGTAAAATTTGGAATGTAAGTTTTGTGTATTTTATATTTAATTATTAGATAAACGTTAAACAAGGAGAAACAAA